CTAACAAGTAATCAATATATTGTATTTTGTATACCTCCTCAAAGAAGTCATTTGGGCTCAGTGTTCTTCCCTGCCCCTTCCTAAAGTCTCCAAAAGTATTGTATGAAGAAAGAAAGGATGGCAAATTAGAAATGCAGGCCTATCAAAAAGTAATCCCACTAATCAAATGCTTCATGACCAAAGTAACAACCATACCTCCCACAAGAGGAGCTGTATAAACACATTCAGACAAGAACAAATGCACTGCAGCAACCTGGAAACACTATAAAAAGGAAACAAAGCATCTATACTAGGGGTCCCCAATCTGTAGCGCATGAGGGGTTTGCAAGTGGGCTGTGGAAACTGCCAGCAAGCGCACATGGATCCTCACTTGCATGAGCAGTGGGCAAGCACAAGCATACAAACTCCATTTAAGTGAGCAGCAGAAGCATCAGAGGTGTGTGGCTCCTGGTTCGGCCCAGATAGGGTGAACAATAGTGGCAGCGGTGGGAGTCTCTGTCCGCATGCGCAGAAGCATTATGCATGCACAAGCAATCCAGTAATAAAAAAATTGGAAACCCACTACTGGTGTGCGTGCTTACATAAATGAAGCTGCGTGTACATAGTATAGTATAGTCTTTATTGTCATTGTATAAAATAAATACAACGAAATTGTACATGTTTTCTTGTATGGAACCATCCTCTCTCCCATGCCAGTCTGCAAATCCGGAAACATTGTAGAACTCTGATCTGATCTATACAGCCACTAACAAAATAGATACCCATGCACCAAAAATACCTGACCACTTTTTATATTACAGCACAACAAACACAAGTTATGACAAGAATAACCACCATACATCAAAAACCTATTAGAAACAACCAACAGACTATTATAACGATATGGCCTCAGTGTAGCACACAAACCAACTAAAGATCTCAAAAACATCTTAATGTAAACCAAAAGATCCAGCAGCCCAAGAATTAAAAACATCTATAATATATATAGTGTAGTAATTATAAAACCACTATGTAAGAGAAACAGGCAGAAGACTGAGTACATCCATGAATACCAACTAGCAGTAATGAAAACTTTCTTACTCCCAGAACATAGGAACAAACCCCAACACAGTTTAAGCCGGAGAACTCTGAGCAATCTAGGCCGAGCCAAATCCCCTGGCATTAAGAGCATTCCTGGATATGTGGCATTCAGACAAATAAGCTATCAATGGACATAGAGAAATAAACCATATTAAAACACAATTCAAAAGAGATAATAGAAAGCTAAGAAGGAAATGAAAAGACCAGAACACATACCCTGTAGCAATCAACACCCAGATAAACAAGGATTCAGAAAAAAAAAACAGGTAGAAAACAGCACCCTAATGACAGAACTACCAAGGAGAAAACTACGCTCCCAACAGTGGTGGGTTTCAAAAACTTTTGAAACCTACTCTGTGGGTGTGCCCTCCTTTGTGGGAGTGGCTTGCCACCCATGTGACCGGATATGAGATTATGAATTAGTACTTAGGTCGGTCCAAGTAGCTATTCAGAAACTCTGGCATTGAAACAAGTCTTAAAGCTGTCAAGTTACAAGATCCTTGCCAGTGGTGGGTTTCAAAAATTTTTGGAACCTCTTCTGTAGGTGTGGCCTGCTTTCCGGGTCTGCTGGTGGAACCTCTTCTAATCGGTTCGGTAGATTTGACGAACCGGTTCTGCCGAATAGGTGCGAACTGGTAGGAACCCACTTCTGCCTAAGCCCATCATGATGAGTAGCCCTAACAGATAAGGTGTTGTGCAATATCCTAGCCCTATTTTTTTAGATAAGACGTGTTGAAACTTG